TGTTTTTCTTTAATTTATCGAACCCAATCCATTTGTACAGACAAACATAATTTTGAGACATGTAATGTGAGCCATCTGGTTGGAATGCTCCAATCCCTGCACGCTTATATTGATATTAATTGGATGACACAGAAACCGCTCTACTGGGAACGTACAACAGATTAATAAAAGCCGATCCCAATTGTAGGAATTCCCTTTGTGACTTTGAGATACGTCTAATAAATCCAAATCACGAGATTGTACCTCATCGTATATCTATAGAGATATTGAGGATTCTTTCTTTGTTATTATTTATCATTTCAAGGACCTACAGATTGTTTTGAGAATAGAAGCTCGAAATAAAAGATCTGGCGATGTTGCCGCTCACTGAAGTGTCTACTTGTACGAACATAAGATACGTTGGAGAATTCTTTATAGGTAAAAAAGTATGTACTCTTTACGGATAAATTTGGAGTTGAAAATTTCCAGAACCATCTACATTTTTTGTCATTATATAGAAAACTGCCACCAATTATTCATTGTATTCCTATGTGTTATTCAAGGCTTATTTGTATAACGTAGTTGCTTACAATTTGCTCTCGCTGTAACTTTATTATCGTTATCTATCATTCACTGCTAAACGTGTTTCTCTCATCACAAATCACAGTACTGGCCCACCAGCATCCATCTCTATTATTACTACAACATATTTTAGATTGTCGGACCGTGCACCGTCTTAAAAGATCGATCTGTTTTACTTATTTGAGTTTCTTCCGCAGTTGTAATAACCATATTTTTAAAACTGAAACTTAAAATATGTCGTTTCAGAATTTATCTAAATTTTATATTGTTGTGATGTATTTGCGACAACCAATGATTCTTCATCAATATATCGAATTATAAATTTATTTAAAAAAAAATCTAACGTATTAAATTTATGAAGTGTTTATTATCATTAACAGACACTTATGTGTCTAAGCTAAGTAAATACTGTTTGTTAGCTTTTCGCAAAAAAATTCGAGACAGATTGTAACAACTACGAAGACGAATTTCAGTAGCGCGTAATAGTCAGTTTCATAAACTCTTTAGACATGTTTTACGAGTAGACGAGTGTTCTGAAAATGTTAAAGGTAGAGATGTACTAAGTCATTTCATATCTATAAATCATACTACAAACTCACTTTGCTCATTGTCGGATTCTTTCAAATAGAAATAATTCTGAAAAATAAATTGAAACATAAAAAGCTATTTTATGCTTAAAAATACTGGTTTCATTGTTGAGGTTGACCGTCGTCACTTTCATATGCGTATGTTCCCAAATTCTGATTCGTTGGCAGCTGTACGTGTGGAGGACATTCCCTACAATGAATGCTCTGTTTTTATTTTTATTGGCAATTAAACAATTAACCCTTTGAGAGGTACAAAAGACCCAATTTCTGAGGTTCCCCTCTGCGTCGAGCGAAATTTTATACTCATTGAAGGCGTATTGTGGTGAATTTTAGGGCGATTGTTCGCCGCATGAGGTGAAAGCGTTTGCTCTGAATACTGGAACACCATTTACTAAATGAGGAAGTCTCTCAGCTGGGTACTTACTAAAGGGAGGGTTAAATTAGGTCTAGATCTTTATGTGAGTTGTAAAATTATTATTTTTTTGTTATCCTTTGTACGATCCATCCATGCATAATAAATGGGAACCCTTGTATTTGTGAATTTTGTATTTTTGCTCCTGTTTTGTATTTTTATTATGTAATTGGAATGACAAACAAGACAAAAGCCCACCTGATGGCAACCATCGCTTATATACATGAACAGCACTAGGACATCACGTAATCATTTGACACTCGTGATACCAATAATGCATTGCCCTTCTAGACGATTAGATCTTATGCATCTTATTCTGTAATTACACTGCTCATTCTGAAGCCTATAAGCAATAAACAACTTGCCTGAAACAAAGTGCCTAACTCTGATATAGGTGAGACTGAGGTACCCACGGAGACGTCTTATTACAGTTTATCTCTGGTCGAAAATATAAACATATTAATTAAAACACCTGTATGAATTTAAAACATGTTAAAATGTATGTTTGTATGAGCCGTAATCCAAACAGACAAGTCTCTACAAGCAGAAGACGAATGATAAGCTAAAATGTATTGGCCCACAAGAGTAAAATATATACATATGTATAACAGTATAGTGAAAATAAACTTCAACTTTATGTTTTTATGATTTATTTAATAAAAATCTCTTTTGACTTGAACACGATCACTAAATTACAGACAATTAAAGAAATATTTATATCGTGTAACATTCAGATTATTTACGTTGTATATCAGTCGAATAGCTTAGAACAATAGTTACTAACCATAGTCGCACTGACTGATTCAAAGAATTTATACATCATATTTACAAATTTCTAAGTAAAAAATATAGATATAGCAGCATTAAGAAATAGAGCAACCATGAATATAGTTTTAAATAATAAAATTGGAAATCCTCATTACAATTTATAGACAACGTACGTAGGTGACAATGAAAATTGGCGAAAACGAACAAATGGATAGGCTGCAGATTAGTTATAAGAAAAATAAATATATTATTATTTTTATTAGACAATACTGGGATATCCGTAATTATCAATAAATGGAATTTGCTAATATTATTTTATGATTCTGATGATGTGGATGATAAAAATGTTGATAATGACTGAAATATATAAATAAATATTTTTGTTCATATTACACACATCATAACTCTAAAAGAAGTATTTTTTTGAGTCAATGAGAAAATATCCATAATCGAAAAATTGTAATTACATTGATAAAAATAAATTTTTATATAATAATATACAGATATTAGGCCTAATTATATACGGATTTATGTAAGCCAGTTAGTAGAATATAGTTATCGATACAGAAAACGTAGGCAAATAAATTGGATACCCTACAGTTGGTACCTAACTCTATTTTGAGCCCTTAATATAATTTGTGATTTCATTAACAGCCTGCACCTACTATTTGTGTATGCAGTAAAATTAAAATATTAGTCAGTAACAACAATTTATATAAATCTATGTGCTGAGTATTACAGAGATAAGACAAAATAGCCTTCACATATTCTTATAAAATGTTTTAGTAAGTAGTATTCATTAATTACCTATATGATTATTATTTATCACTAGTTCTTGCATTTTCTTAGGGTAACATCTGCCTTATTTAATTATATAACGCAAAGATGACACACCGATCAAATATATTTACTTAGGTTCCTTTAATGGTTGCGATAAGAATTTCAACTTAAACAATCAAGTATCGGTATACTAATATTAGTTCTAGTTTTATAAATCGTTATTTTGTTTTCGAGTATATTTATTACTTCCTTTTTTGTTTACAGAAATTATTGGAATTCTGGCAATGTAACTTATATGACTTTCGCATTTGTAGATACATAATTGATATAATAATTGAACATACATTTATCTACTTTCTTTACCTAATCATTGCAAAGATTGATAGTACTGTTTATGTTACCGAATCCTTAACTAATTACATTTATATTACTGTTTTTTATTTTTTAATGCTCAAAGTCTATTTCAGTGCTGACTCTTATCGTTAACCAATCTTCTTAACATCTATTGTTTTACAGTATGCGTTTAAAATCTTCTGTTGCTAAAAAAATAATTACCAGTAAAGTTTCGTAACTATTGAATTGCGATTGTTTTTAATTGGGATTACCTTAAGGTAATGTTACTACGGTTAAATCGTTACCCATTCAGTATTCATAGTTTAAATTTGGTAATATATTCGTCCAGTTTGGCACAAAAACATAAAATGTAATGCCGAAATGTTAAAATATGTTTGATCGACATCGGTTCATTATTTGAACGGCTTTTTGTGAGTGAACTAATTTCTTTTTATTTGAGAAAGATTTTACATTTTATAATGTATTAAATATATGAAATTATGCCTAAAGCAAACTCGAAAGTGACTATCAAATAACATGTATCTATGTACATACGTAACATAAAGGGTGCACCATGTTTTTTCTTAGATATTTACAAAATATACAAGTCTATACTAACAATTATTAACAATGACAATTATTCTCCGGGAATAACATTTTTATTCTATATTAATAAAACAAAATTTTTACACGTTTTTATAGATATTAAAAATAAATAGGTTGGACCATCTATATAATATATATTTTGTTTTAAAATAAACGAACTACAGAATGATCATCTAAAAGAAGATAATATAATTTTGCCCGCAAGCCGTACAATTCTATTGAGTCAATTATTTCTTGGAAAGAAAAACATGAAATGCTTCAGGCACAATAATCTATTTATGACTATCACCATTATACAAATACTTTTTGATATTTTATTATTGTTATGAACAATTAATAAATTATTTGAATCTTCCTTAAATATTGTTTAAATTGTTCACACTATCATATTCAAAGTAACATATAAACCATTTTAGGGTACTCAGATGAAATTATACAGACTATATACAATTAGATTTTCATTTATACAGCAAAGTTAATAATGAGATATCAAAATTGTCACAAACGAGTACTATAAGAGATAAAATGGCAGCATTATTTATCATTTACAAAATCTGATTCAACTGCGTCAGCCTTTTCATGTACCTATTAACTACTAAAAATTGATAAGTAACAACAACGTAGTCACTGCGTTTCTATGAAACGTTTGCCATAACAATACAAATAATTAATTAGGCTTTTCTATCACTTCACCGTATACACACCTCATTTAAGTGTTGAATGTCTTTTACCGTACTTACACAGATTGGTACACCTATAAGTCTTTGAGACATTATGAGGTGTTCTTTTAATTTGGAATGTTTACGACAAAACTGTTTCAGCAATATTGAATGTTTCCGTTTTTTCAAATCTTTGCATTCAATTCTGTCCCTTTGTATTAAGTAACCCCTCGAAGGAGTTCGAAGCGGGGATGGTAAGGGGACTCGGCCCCTCAGCTCTGTGCTAGGGAATCCAGCGGCACCACCAGTTTTCCGTTGGAGTAGCTGAAACCAACAGAAAAAAGTAACCTAAGTTAGAACGACATTTTGAGTCACCGACAAATTAATACTGGTAAGTTTCTCTTTAAAATAGTTTTGTTTGTAGTTAATATGTAGTAATAGTAGTATTTCATAAAAGTTTGAAGTGTAAGTTTACGTGTAGATGACGTGATATAATTATAATATATAGATATAATAGTAACCTGTATGGTATAGTAGATGTTCTGGATTTAGCTCTGCTTGGCCTACAGGCTTCATCTGTAACCAAGACATTCTAACTTAAGCCATCTTCGATAAACAACAATATATTTTGTAGAATCCGACGTTTGTCTTAGCAGACTAATCGCAAAGTTCCCCTCATATCCTATCGAGAAGGCTTAATTAAGTGGTAGCGCATGCTATTGTCTCGGTTCTTGTGGAACAAAACTTATCTCTAGTCGAAGTTTGCAAAAGTAATATCTGCAATACCTTAATGAGGGAACTTTGTATCGACTTTGTTAATCGCTTCTGACCCAGCCGCGATGCGCCGCTTGTTATCGACTCTTTGGTTGTTTCACAATTTTTTTCTTTTATTTAAACAGAAATATTTTACTTTTATTCTTGTGTTATGTTGTCGTATGTGATTAATGATTGTAAAACCAAAATAAAAATTACGAGGTAAGGATTATGATATCCTAATGACACTGTTAATTTAATTTTTCATGGACGCGCCTTTTCTAATTTGAGATAAAATAAAATATCTACGTATCACAATTGGAATTGAAAATTGAAATAGAAAATAGTCTATTTTTAATTTATCGGACCCTTACCATAATAATATCGCGGCTAACATCGTTGTGAGAGGCACGCATCGCATTTGACGGGCTCGGCACGCCGCTTGCCCTGAGAGCCCTGCGAGCCGGACTTACGCCGGAAAGTGTACCTAACGAGCAGACCTGTAATGCAAAACGCCGAACCGTTAACAAAATAAACAAATAAACCAAAATTAAAACAGAGCCACGGGCGCGCGTCCATCTGAAAAATGCCTATGGGCGAACGAAAGCGAGCGAAATAAAAAAAAGAGATGACACTCTCACGGTTTCCACGACATGACACCACCGGATTCATTCACATTTTATGTGAGAATAGAACTTGAGATATAACTTGTGCAATTTTTGTTCTAAAAATATATTTTGTTTGTTGTGTGATGGCAGTAAGTGAATGTTCTAAGAATGTTTTTATGTATTAAGACGTTTTATTTGAGCTAAATACAGATATGTATATTTTATTCTATATATAATTGAAGCAGCGCTTATAACACTATTATTTTTAACTTATCCATGCATAAAAAGTAGTTTAACGCTAGGGTAAAAAGAACCTTGGCTTTGAAAGTTCTTTGGTTAAGGTGTTTTATAACAACGATTAAACTTACCGGTGAGGCCAGCTTTGTTGATGCTATTAGAGCTCGAAAAGCCCGATATTTTTTTCCAAGCTTTTTTATTCCAAAACCCGCTAGTTTTCGCATCCCCGCAACTGGAACTACGCGGCGAAGGGATATCTTTAGGACATCTCAGTCCACAATCTTCTGCACCGAGTATGCGTACACCAGCACCACGCGTTCCATATGCTACGGCAGGCAAATGAGGCACTGATCCCGTCGGCTTACGTCGCAAACTACCTACATAACTTGCTCCACTGCTGCTACCGCTAAAACCACTATCTAGATCAGGAGGATTGCAACTAGCAGGTGATAATAATTCATCAGTTGGACCTACTCGGAGTAATTCCTCTATATTATCTCTATCTTCCGCCCGTTCAGAATCTGGTGACTCACATTCTGGCATTAACATTGCTTCTACGCTAAGGTTTAATTCCCCTAAAATTCGTTTATGCCTGGATTCTACACGGCGTACTTCTTCTTCAACTACACTTCTATCAAGTGAGACCAATGATTGCCTAGGTACATATCTATGTTTTGGACATGTCCTTGAGCCATCTGTAATTTCTTCATAGATATTTTCTTCTGTTCCATATCTTGTAACATAATTATGACGAGCAGACCGATCTTTAGGAATGCCACCACGTCCTCTTTGGCGATTTGTTTTTCTCGATGAAGAAGGCATCGATAAATGATGATCATAATAGGCATACGAATAGTCCACAGGTTCAAATCTTTCCATAGTTGCTGCAATATTGCTTCTATTCCAAGTTTGTGGAGGCGGTTCTCTAGATAAATTGACAGCAGCAAGTCTCGCCGGTAAAATTTCATCCAAATCTCGAGCACATCGTTCATCCAGCGACTGTGCACCATCATCTTCTTCTCGTCTATGTTTTCTATGGGGTCTTCGGGAAGTTTGAGACCGTGGATAAGGTCGATCACAATCTGAGCCGTGTCCATGATTATAATCTGGTGTATGACTTCGATTATAGTCTACAGGACGATGTTTACAATCAATAGTGTGATGATAATCTGAAGTGCGCCTAAGACTATAACTTGAATTGCCTTCATAGTCAGATCTGTCATAAGAAGGACTATCGTCAGCGTTGCTGGTATGCGCATGAGGGCAGTCGGCTGCGATGCCTGATTCTGATGAAGGATAATCGTGAACTTCGGCAGTCGTAAGAACACGGTCGTCTGGCCGTGCTGGTTCTGAGGTTGCGTGGCGGTGATGAGGGCGAGGTCGCGTCGTTTCGCGACAACTTGCAAAAGTTCTTTGCAGTGATGGTGTCGGGTAACGTACGCAATGTGAGTCGTACACCGCCTCCCCCGCCTCGTCGGGGCTTGGCGGCGCGCTTCGTGATTCCATGGCTCATCCTCTCATTGCCAATTAGAACCTGCAAAAAAGAAATTTTGTATAAGTTTATATTATCCACATAGCGAATTAAATCTAATTTACTTTGGTGCTGCGTACATGTTTACATAAAAATATTAATATACGATTTTATTATTGTGTCGCCGATATTGTGTATGAAATATTTTACTTTTAATAAAGGCCCGTGACCGGAGCGCAGTGCTGAGGCCGAGGGCAATGAATCCGAAATTACATGCTCCGTGATAAGGGTAGGGTAAGTAGCGATCAACACAGCAACCAACGTCGATATATCATCATCAGTCGCTGGGTTATAAATCGGTAGACGGGATTTCACACCATGTTTACATTTTATACACGCAACGGATTTGAAAAACGATAGTGCTGTGTCTTAGATAAGTAACCTTATATATATATATATATCGCTCGGAAGATAAAAAAGTTACGACGGATATTTATTTATGTTGTTAAATATCTCTGTACAATTTACATACTTGTAATGAGAGTATCCAAGTTTACATCGAAGAAGCATGTCCATTTCGACTATGAGTAACCATTTTTTGCGGTTTGAACTTATGTATTCTGTCATAAGAACGGTTGTTTAATTTCTAATGTCGGATTTCTATTTTACCATTTCTGTGATTTAGGATTTTTATTTGCATATTATATTTTTTGTCACAATATGCTACCAAACCAAAAATATTATCAATCCTAATAATAATTATACCAAATGATTACAAAAAGAATCACCGAAATCTAATTTGTTAAGGATACACAAAACATACAAAAGATTTTAAAATATTCTTTAAAAAAATACTTTTGAAATATATACCTATAACAGTCTTTTTATTATACTTTATCTATTGATTTCATAAAGAGAGTAAATTGCACACTGATCATATTTGCATGAAAAATGGATTACTACACCCCGCTATAAATTATTTCCGCTCCATAAAATGTGACCTTATTTACATATGCCTAATGCGAATATTGAATACGTAGCATTCACTACATGATTAATAGTGAGAATAGTACAATTTTAAATATTATAAATAATTTAATTTGAAAAGGTTCGTAAGAAGAATCGAAGGCAAGTATTATACAATTTTTTAATACGCCGTCACTTTCTATTCTAAATGGATAGTAAAGGACATCTAATATAAAATGTTTCATATTTTTTTATAAATGATATATTTGCAATACAGGACTTAATGATAAATAAAGATTACGAAAAATATCAATTCGGATTGCGTACATTAAAACAGTTAACAGTTAAACAAGAATTGTTTAACTGATAACTGTTTTATCCTGAATAAATATCGCTGGACAAAACCAGCACGATTGTTAAAAAAAATCCAATAGTCCAATTTTGTTGCGGATCCCCTTAAAGTAGATACAGATTCCAGACCAATTTATTACGATAACGATAAGTGTCCGTGAACTAGTGTCGCAACTGTCGCAAGGGCGTCTGTACCCTACCGTTGTCATGGCAACGTCCCGATCCCGCGGTTTTATCGTTGCGCTTCCGCCCGATATTCCTTGCATCTAAATCATCATCAGCGCTGGGAAGCCGCTCGTAAAGCGCCCGTTGACCGTCCGGCCGTGGCTATAATTTGTTATGCCCCGGATTGCCCACTACTGCCCGTCATGGCCTATCTTTCCCGCTAGTCTTGGAATCTCGTCTCTATTGTGTATGTCACTGTTAAGGCGACTCGCATCCTTGTCGCAATCTCTGTGTATTTGGGGAAATTCGTAATGGCCTTTTGTTAGATCGCGCCGCTCGTTTGGTTTTTTGATAAACATTTCATGGTATACAACGGCAGATTGCTATAATAATATGTCGGTGATGTCTTGTTTCTCTTGTGTATGGGTTATCAAATGTATCTTTCGAATTGCTTGCAGGGTAATGATAGCGTTCATTATCTTTAATTGGTCAAACACTATTATCTTGTATTTAACTTTTATGAAGGCTTATTTAAATAAAATAATAAGGTAAATATTTATACATTCTAATCAGTGCATTTTCTTTTAGCTTTTTTATAATTTTGATTAGATTATTTATAATATGCAGTCGGTGTTCAGTATATCTACATATTATAAAGTTACTATTATTAGTGATGTCAATACCTACAATAGTATTCATTAGTTTTAGGTATTGTATCTTTGACTTTCATTAGTATAAAAAAATATGCAGATTCCTTATTAAAGCCAATCAGAACAATAAATACAACAATGTACTACATAACTGAAGGAAACATTGCAAATTAAACGATATTTGAAGTTATAACAACAAAAAGCGATAGCATTCTTTCATACGGCACATGATATCAGCACATTTTTCGTCCCCTATCTGTATTCCCCTCCGTTATACAGTTCGAATACATTATGAGGGTGTAAAAATCACGCGACGTTTCCTAATGCCAACGTAATTGCAATGAAATTTATAACACGTTTTTAATACTAATTTAATATGGCACAGGGTTCAGGCATTTAGGGTTGAACCCATTCACTTAAAATCAACTGAAAGAAGAAAAACTCTCTTTTTATATCACAGTAAGTGAGTTGTTACATAACATATAATAGAAATATTACCGTCTTCGGAATTGAAAAATATTTAAATAAGGAAATTCTTAAATCGACTGTAGTTCTTATGTTATGCGATATCTTTGCCGATAACAATATGAATGATTATTATTTTACCATAGGTATAAATGAAATTGGTTTTATTTGGAAAAAATTGAAAACAATCTAAAGACATAGCTATTTTCTTGTTTATATTTAAACTTCACTTAGCAGATTCGCCCAGATTGCGCCTTCCTTTGTTTCTCGAATTAATTTTTATATTTTATATTGTGTTTTTATGTCCATAGTGAAAAGTTAGTAAAAGATTTAAGTTATTCATTTAATTCATCCTATATTTTCCGTTGGTGAGTAAGAATGCTATTTCCATCAGGCTACTAATATTGTAAATATATAATAAGTTCTCAATTCCAGCATTTTTGGTATAAGAAGGCAGTGTTTACACATCGTTCTTCCAGACTTTAGTCGGTAGTCTTCCTCACTGTAGTGCTGTTGTTTGACTATCATCTGTTAAACAGCTTTGCTGTCGACCAACGGTTCAGCAATATTTACCACTATGCAAATAATAAGTGAGTATGTATTACATTTTGTAAAATATTTTTCAACCTTTAAAAAGCATTAAACTATACTCAATTCCTGAGGTTACATTTACATAATGTGTGAGATATCAGTTTTCGATTTTTGAAATATTAGTGTACCCTTTAATTGTTTATAGGGCATAGTTGCTACTTTCTATCAGGTTGATTTTCAGATTGTCATTATTTGGCCCCGATTACATAAAACACATATATTTTAGTAAATACTTCATCTACATCACAAATGTTCCAGATATCAAAATTCATGTAACGCATCTACGTGCGGAATAATAGCAATATACCCTACGTTATCACGCCATTATAAATAATCATCATCCATCATGAGGCGATAAAATAATAAGTGTTCCCATTTTCTATGCACCCCTCGTGTCCATTCATTACGTGTAATAGGTTTTTTTTTGTGGTGTGGTCACATGTGTTCTACAGCTTCTAAGTAATTGGTGATAGAATATAAAAAGTATTTGCTAATGAATTGCGTATATGTTATTCTAGTTAGGGCAGGCGGAGTCATTATGTCATATGGTATACTACTGTGGGGTAAAGCAGCCGATATAAATACTATATTTATTTTACAAAAGAGAGCCATACGTTCTATTTATGGTATGGGTTCAAGAGAGTCATTACGTCAGTGTTTTAAAGATTCAAATATCCTCACCGTTCTTCACAATATTTATGAGAATATCATCGGAAGAATTTAGAGATTATTACAAATAGAAACTTACGCAATAAAAATAAGCTAATTTTACCTAAATGCCGCCTGCACAAAGTCAGTAATTATTCTATGGTAATTGCGTAAGATTTTATAATAAACTGCCAGATTCTGCACTAAATCTGCAATTCAAATCTTATATTAAACAAATTACAGGATAGACGAATTTAGACGACAACATATCAAGTAAATAACTAGTTTATTAGCATACAACGTTATAATTTAATTTTCTCATTGCTTTCTTGATTTAATTGATTGATTTTAGAAATATGTAATAGGTTTTTTTTGATTGCCGCATTGTGTAAAATGTGAATACTATAACTATCAGATGGCAATTGTAAGTAGCTTTGACGTAGTCTAGTGTTTTGAGTAGTCATGCTGACTAAAATGTCCAGACTTGTGGCGGCGTGGTGGGCCGGGTATAAAATAAAGTGATGGCTGGCTCATCCGTCATACTTTATTAATTGTTTAACCAGTTGGTTATATATTCAATATTATTTCTATTTGAGTATTTAATAGAATTAGTGCTAATTGGTGGTTTGTATTCACACACTTAAACTTAAAAATGTAAAGTAATAATAAATTATTTTAGTTATTAAAAAATGTAATGACTATTCAAAAGTGCTTCAGTAAGTTTATTTGAATAAATGAGATTCTATTCTATTCATTATTGATTGATTGTTGTATATCAATAAGATTTCTGTACATCGTTCGTATATTTATTATTAAATTATAGGTTTAGTATTTGAATAGAAACAAATTAATGGGCTTCTAAAAGGTAGTATTGTGAAAAAATGTATCGAAAACGTTATTAATATAAGAAACAGTTTGCTATTAATGTAGTTATCTAAACAGGTTTCAGATTTATGAATGTAGATACTTAAATATAGCAAATGGAGTGAATCATATTTTGTATAGTAAATCACCCACATATTTTATTGTAGTAGCAATAATGGAACATAATGGTGTATTTATTATCTGAAGTTATAAAGGAACTAAATATTTTTAAGAATTTTAAACTATGTATATATACGCCTACCCTCGATCCCGCTTTCAATTGTTACCCCCCTCCTCCCGTCCCAAACGCCTTTGCCAGAACCACTCGAGGAATCTGAAGCTTCCTAGCAGTAGAACTCAGTT